TTGCCAAGCAGTCACCACGCACACATGAGGAATCTTCATAGTAAAATGCTTGTTTTAACAATGGTTCTAGGTTTGCCTCAAACAGTCACTATAAACGAAACTCAATTATACACATTTTTTTTGATTGAAAGAACTATACAGGATCAAATATGTACAATAAATTGTACCAAAAAGACATGAAGCAATTTTTTTATGCAATAGTGCTAGATTAAGTGCAAATATTTTATTAGTTTTAAAGACATTCTGCTAGATTTCACAATGTGAAGAATATGAAGAATTCAATAGAACACGATTTTCCAGAATTCATTAAAACTGAAGGCCTCTCAGCCAACCATGAACTTCTGTCTTTGTAATTCTTCAATCCTAGAACTCATAGTACACATGCTGGATGTTGTGCAACATATTGTTAATATTCTTACTAGTTGTAGAAAACAAATCCAAGTTTTAAGTTCCAAGTAGTCATATAACTACTTCATTTTCATTGCCAACTCCCTTTGGCCCCTTAAGATGTTAACTTCCTCCCTTACTACCTGATACAAGCATAATATTGGAAGAGTATTTTAGCATGATATTTTGCATCTGCTCTGTCTGGTGAATTGACTTCAATCATGTTGCAGACCCTCTCTCAGTTTCTCAACACTAAATGTCTGTGATTATGTTTCTTTCTATTGACCCATAACAAGTGTCCTAATTCTAGTGTAGAATGTCAAGATAATGCTACAGATCTAAAACTAAGAGGACAAGACACAGCTCACTGCTGTGTGAGAACGAAAGTCTATTCAACTTGGGATTTGTCTAATAAATGAATTAATTCATAGTTACTTTGAGACAAAAACAGTTTATCTTACCAGCCTCTCACTGCAATCATTGCATCTAGGAAGGTAAAAATGTTAATTTTAGGTAACCCTAACCCTAAAACATTTTTTCACATTAGCTTTAAATAACCCAGAAACCTTAAAAGCTGACCACTAAATGATCAAAACAGATAAGGGGCAAGAAACGTAAGAAATAGGGAAGGTACAAATTAAATCTCTGTTCAACTCCAAATAAAGTCATGTGCAATTTGAACAAAGAATTCCAACGTGAATTGATTACTTGATCCAAAGCCCAAACTGTAACACAATAAATATAAAATATTTCCTAGTTACCTATTGTTTAATGCCTAAGACAATAATATTATCAATAAGATGCCAAATATTATCTTTGACCGGATTACTTTGTGTCAAATACTAGTCTTTTATTATGTAATTATCTGTTGGGTTTGTTTAGATTGAACACCTGAATTAAAAAAAGCCTATGGTATGACGATTGTCAGTTGGCATTTGTCCTCTGGAATTTACAGAGTTACTGTTCTGAGCAACAATAGTTATCAGAATTTTTTTTAACAAATTAGCAGCTGTGTATTTACCATAATTAGCCGCAGACCAAAAAAATGTAAATATACAGGCATAATTCAGTTGTGATTAATTAGCTGAAAATGGAACATACAAAGCATAAATCAGGATTCCCATTCCGATTTATCTTACCCTTAAATAAGACAATCAATAAATTCAATGTGAAGTGGCAATAATGACATCTGTTCTATACAACGAAATGCATGGAGAGGCTTGTTTAGCTCGGTTGAAATAACGTCTTTTTTTAAAAAAATCTGGATTTGGTTCTTCTCATTCTAGTTCTGGCAGAGTTGAACTTTATGAAAGGTCATTAGTCTCTAAAATATTTGATCTGTCAAACTGATCTCTCCAGAGCTTGGCAGCAGGGCACATCTTTTAACTCTGATCTATCTCACTGAAGCAAAATTTCTGCTTGTTACATAAGTGCGAATGACTGCAGAGAAGCAAATGTCAGCAACAGATTTAGCAGATGATGATAGTCCTATGGACAGATATTTAATACCCGAAGTCACTGTGCCAATGCGCTAAATTAAAATGTAGCTATGTATACAATGCGACATGGAAAAGTACAAATAAAAACATCTCGTCAACTTTAGGGAAGAAAACCCTCTAAAATTGCAAACATTGTAAAAATAAATCAATAAAATAACAATTTCATTTTTAGTTGCCTCCTGTTAAATGTAAAATGCACATTTTATCGATAATGATGATTTAATCACAAATGATTGCATTATGCAGACTCTTACACTCGTCAATTTTACATGCTCACAACACTCATTTGGCACCACTCTGTACATATATGGTGTGGAAATACTGGCTTGGTGTTCTGCATGCTTAAGCATAGCAAAGTGCATTAGTAACAGCAGCTACACAGATTATGTTGATTGAAAAAAATGTTAACACAAACTCTCTACATTATCATCAAGTATACACAAATTTATTATCAGATTTATAAAAAAAATCTAAATTGCAAGTCTGTCCTGCATCCTAATGGTCATGTCCTATAGTCCTAACCTTCATTCCAAAGTCCAAAATGGACACCACAACAATGCTGCCCCCCACCTTTATTGAGGATAAAGGATAAAAATGCTAGCCGAGTATCTCTATACAATTTCATTCAAAATAAAAATGTCGGTTGAAATGCACTGAGATGACAATTTTTTTATTATGTTGAAATTACTCTGATTTTAGAATAGCAAATGGATTTTATGTCAAATAAACAATCACAAAAAGGGTGGAGGTTGCTTTTCTTGTGCTGGAAGAAGTTTCCCTTCTTCATCAGTAGGAACTTACCCACAGGGGAGGGACTGTGAATGTTGATGGGGCTGCCATCATCACCAAAGTTGGTTATTTCCATTTTCAGCATTTAAAGTTGTGCTTCGCTTGCTGCAGTATGTTATAGCAACTTGCAGGTTAGAAGTAATAATGATTAACATAACTACACATGCAAGGTTAGTAAGCCACGTAATGCTGAAACTGCAAGCTTAGTATGTATTTACTGTGAACATTGATTTGAAATTGACAACAGAAGTATACAGATTGTTTGTAAATAAACTAATAGCACTAGTTAGTTAAAAAGATAACCAAAACACGATTCTTAGACTAAGATGATGTCAATTTTGTATTAAGATTTGATTGAAATTATGTATAGTAAATGCACAATTAATTAGGTAAGTAACAGCAGTACAACATAACCCAAAATCTAGTCCAACCTTCACCTTTAAGCTAAAACCAGTGAGAAATGAAATTGTGTGCCAAATTTGTAACCAGCAAAAGATATTTAGTCTAAGGTCTTTTTATATAACTTTAGAATTTCTATTGATCTGCTTCCTCAACGATGGAAAGAATAAAGGCAGCATATGGTGTAGCACTAAGTTATACAAACTTCAAAGTAGAACAATCCATTTGCAGTCTACGGGGAGTCATTTGTACTCAGCTGGAGCACTGGTTGGGTGCTGCAACTGACTTTTGTGCCCCTGGGCAAAGAAGGGTGGTGAACAAAATCACTTCTTTTTGTTTAGTGCACAGAATTAAATCGAGCAGATTTGGCTGACATGTCATGCGAACAAGTATTTTAAAAAGCAAATGCAAATCGTCTTAACGACCTGTTTGGCAAAAACAGAAAATACAAAAGTTGTCCACACAAGACGACGTGATGATGCATTGTGAGCTGAAACACATCATGGTACAATTTAAACTGAATCACGAGGGAAGTGATCGATGGCTGTTCTTTTCCCATTGGCAAACTATCTCTTTGAGTGAGTATTGGGGTAAAAAAAAATGCTTACAAATACTTGCAATATAACATTGAAAAAAGTAATCCAATCGCATCATTTTATTGTTGATAATGTAAACAAGTACAACTGTAAATTTTGGCAAAGGGTAGCATTTTTATCGTGCAATCAACACCATTAATACCAGAGACTGGGGCATTTCAGAAAGAGCTGGAGTATGTGTGACCTTACAAAAAAAGGTTGCAAATCAGGTTGTAGTGACGCATATAAGTAACTAAGCCACTTAAAACAGGATCAACAAATTGCTGATCAACATTGCAAACCAAAAGAGAGGTTTCTCTTTAAACATTATTTTAACAAAAAAAATCAATTTCCATAAGCAATTTGCGGTTTTAGTTAAAGGTTAGTGGACCATTTTTCTGTCGTACATTTGTTTTTTGTTAAAAAGAAATGGAAAGTTAATGGAATAGTAAAGTAAAATCAAACCAAGCGTAACCCATAACAAGCGAATGGCAGAAGTGGTGTGTGATCAATTGCGATGCAACAGAAGTAGTGAGAGACATTCATGGTTGTTCCATATCAACGGGGCGTCATCTATTCATATATGTATATCTATACACACACATATACACACACATGTACACACACCCACACACATATATATCACACAGACTAACACCCACATATATATATGTGTATGCACCCACATATTTATACACACCCATGTGTGTGTATGTATATATATACACACACACACACACATATATGCACACCCACACACACCCATGTATTTATACACACCCACGTGTGTGTATATATACACACACACCCACATATATGCACACCCACACCCATGTATTTATACACACCCACGTGTGTATATATACACACACACATATATGCACACACGGACATGTGTACATACACACCCCACAGATCTACATGTACACACATATATATATATGCACAGACACACACACACGTATATATTTAGATATTTGCACACCAAGTGGATGCACGTTTATGTCCATAGAGGAAAAAAAAGTGAAGCCGGTGCAAACAAGACTTGACAGCAGCAGCAGCAGCAGAGGGGGCGGGTAGACCCGGGTAGACCCGGGCAGAGAACGACAAGTTCACGGGGGAGAAGGTGCGGAGTGGGAGAGAGAGTGAGACACAGAGAGAGAGAGAGAGAGAGGAAAAAAAAACCCTTGAAACACCAGACGTTCAAGAGTATATTTTGGAGGCGAGCAAATCACCGGGTGGTGAACGTCCGCCTCTCATACAGACAGACAGACACAGACAGACAGACACATACACATATATATATATATATATACCCACACGCGCGCCAGTACTTATTTATTTTCCAAACCTGAGCGCTTGGCCCGGGCTCTTAACTCACTCAGCACCGACAACAATGCGGCCATACTCGCTGAGTGAGAGTCAGCACTGCGCGACACTGTCGTGAAAGGAAAACCCTCTCTCTCTCTCTCGTCGTTTCGCCTGTAATGGCTTTATTTATTTTTATTTTTTTTAAAAAAATCATTTCCGGTTTCTGTGGGGGAGGGGGAGGGGGTGGAAGTCGCCGCCGCCGCCGCCGTCGGTTTATTTTGATTTATTGACACGTCTGAGGTTGGGCCCAGTCAGGGTCCGGGGGTCGCTAAGGTCGTAAAGCGGTTGCTAAGCCGGAAAGCGGTTTGGTGCGCCTCGTCCCGCCATGGGCCCCGCGCTCGAGCTCGCCCTCTCCGCCCTCTCTGCCCTCTCCGCCCTCCTCCTCCTCGGGCCCCGCGCCGCCTCGGCTCTGCAGGATGTCACCGCCGAGCTCTTCCGCGCCGAGGCCCACGGCGTCGTGGCCGCCTTTGGCGACTTCAATTCGGACAAACAGACCGACATCTTCCTCATCAGATCGAGTGAGTGAGTGAGTGGGGGACCCGCCTCCCTCTCCCTCCCTCCCTCTCTCACCCCCTCCCTCCCTCTCTCACCCCCTCCCTCCCTCCCTCACCCCCTCCCTCTCTCTCACCCCCTCCCTCTCTCTCTCCCCTCCCTCCCTCCCTCCCTCACCCCCTCCCTCCCTCTCTCTCTCACCCCCTCCCTCCCTCTCTCTCTCACCCCCTCTCTGATCCCCTCCTTCCCTCTCTCCCCCCTCCCCCCCTCCCTCTCTCACCCCTCCATCCCTCCTCTCTCACCCCCTCCCTCCCTCTCTCACCCCCCCCTCCCTCCCTCCCTCTCTCTATAAGGCGCTATATAAATGTAATTTTGTTGTTGTTGTTGTATTCAGTGAAGCGATTTGAGATGTCTCGAAGACGTGATAAAGGCACTGTATCAAATGCGGTATTATTATTATCCTGACCTGGGATGTGCACCCAGCTCTTAAGAGGAAAGGGGAATAGGAGAGATATCAACAATGCTAATTGCATTTGATATACCTCTTTATTGCTTTATTTATTGCTGTGCGCAATTGGCTGCCGCGTTCGCCCACAAATATACAGTCAATTCACTTTACAGTGTATTCTGTGAAGCGCTTTGGGACGTCCTCCTGATGTGAAAAGCGCTATATCAAATGCAAGGATTATTATTATTATTATTATTGAGACGGCTCAAAGTGCTTCACAGGATGTAGAGTGACTGTGAGATGATGGGAGGGGTGGCTGGGAGGGAGTATAAAAATCGACGGTCAATTTGGACTGAAAGTCCTCTTTCTTTGCAGTATCACTATGCAACTCTCGTCAAATAACTTGGTTCATAACCAGAGATTGGGTCCTGTTTGGTTTGTACCCAAATAGTAAACATCCTATTCATTCATGTCAATTTCACTGAACAAACAATAACAATTGTCGTGAGAGTTAAAAGTAAATGATACAATGTTGTTTATTTCTCTTATTTTTGTTGGAAGTTTACGTTTTGTTTATAAATTGGATTTGATAACTGTTACATTGTCTTACAGTCTACATTCAACTTGAGCTATGCTTAGCTGGAATGTGCTCCCAGCTCCTTCCTTAATTCTTAAACCTATTCTTATCGTATTCATAGTTGAACCAGTTTGGAAATGACTGGGTCCATAAAATATAGATAACAACAATTTTGTTGCACAGTGTTGCCAAGTATATGGACATTAATATGTTAAAATAACACATTTCAACACAATCTCAATATTCATGGGCCAATAGGTTTTGTCATATTGTTGCTTAAAACTTTCTGTAGCATTGATATGGACTCTTGGTAATTGGTTCCTTCTAACTACCCAGACATGACAGCAGATGAAACTGTCCTCTCTTACCCAGAAATTCTCAGCCTTCATCTTTCCTTTTTGCACTCAATTACTGTTTGAACAACACGTCTCACTCAACCTTTTTAAAGGCTTTTCTCCCATCTGTTTTTCCAACCTCATCCTCTGTTTCCGTGTGATGTTAAACTCCTTTTCTTTAACACCCACATAAAATAAAGTGCACATCAGGATGGATGCTGGGTGGACTTGTATCTCTCCCTAACAATACTTAACTGACCAATGATTTGCTATTTTAGCAAATGGTCAGAAATGTATTTAGCCAGCGTATTTAAGAGAAAACTTCAGTGATAAATCAAGGGCCAGGGGGCTCTGGTGTAAGTAAAGGTTAGGGGTACCCTTCCCGATTCTAAAATCTAACATTTTGCTTACCATACCATTCAACTTCGTGCTGAAGATGAATAAGTATTTCTGAAATGGCTCAAATATTTTGAGGAAGGGTCTGAGGTATGTTTCTGCTGCCAATGGATTGGGCCCCATAACCTTGTGGACCCCGGCCCGATTGCACCACTTGCATCATTATAGTTACACCACTGGAAAATGTAATGCTTACACGAGAATAGGAATTTGTACTTTTTCTGTGATACTATCTAAAGCTTCTTGAGATTACATATGGCTTGAAGCATTGAGACAATTTAGAGCCAAAAAGGGATGTTCACATTATGTAAGCTCTGTGGGATCTCACCAGAACTGTTTTTATTGAGGAAATTTTGCCCTGTGCCTCAAATTAAAGCATGACAATCTTAGCTCAAACATAAGAGCTCAAAATGAAAACCCTTAAAGAAGCCATCGCCAATCTTAAATCCCCAAATTAAGGAGTTAATGAGGGTTTTGTGCATCAAATCACCACTATGAATTGGAGATGCAGTACATGCCATATTCAAAAAAAAGCAGTTTTAATAAATGACATTCCCTGAAGTTAATGATTCTTTTTGCCAATTTCTTCACTGATTTTACTCTGAAATCCATGGAAATATACTGGATATTCAGTGAGTTAGTTCAAGTTACCCCATGTGGAGGATGCTGACCATATCAAAGTGATTGCTGAGTTTCAGATGAAGCAGTGAGGGATGTAGAAAGTCATTAAAAAGATGCCAATATTCTATGTGCATCAAGCAGATTGTTTATTATCTACATCATATTCTGTTCTGTTAATCAGTGTCATGTCCAAAATTCATGAATTATTTAAGGTGTAGCTACCATTGATTTCCTGCTTCCTTAGTTTATTAATTTTGACTGCTAATATATTACTTGTGGTGGTGTTTCCCCTTTTTTCATTTTGTGCTCCATTTGTAGTAAACAAGCACATCATTTGCTTTGGGATTTTTCATCAATACAGCTATAAAACCACCCTTTGGCTTTAAGGTACTGTTCTCCCTGTAAGAAAGCGTTTGGCATTTGCTCAATGCCTTTTTACAATAGCGCAAATCAGGAGCTTTGTGTATTGAGGACTATGGGCTGAGATAGTGTCAGACACCTTACTCTAAGCCCTCACCAATGCTGCTGTATAAATTACCTCTAGGTGCAGGAGAAAATTTTACATAACTATACATTTTTAAACAATGAAATTTATAGAGTGCAGTAGATCAATAATCTTAGTTGTGTGGAATATCATTAATCTAGTATGTTTTACTGTCAGTGCAACCACTTTGTGTCCATATAAATAAGTCATTTTCCCATATTAATCTGCAGTATCCTGATTACCTCAATTATTGTGGTTTGCAGCTGTCTGAAAATGGTGAAAATGGATAGTCCAATTAAGGCTTCACTGCTTACTTGAATTATACATTTCAGATTCTCAACACCATATATTTTCTTCCGTTTCCATGTCATCAACTATTTGTTTCAAATGCAGATCTTGTGCCGCATTTTCATAACTTGTTTTTCTTTTAGGAAAAGAGTTAGTTATTCTATTGGCTGACGTAAAAGTGCCCTATTTCAAGCCAAACGTAAAGTTACAATTGGGGTAAGTAAACACATTTAATGTGCTTCTCTTACTTCGAATATTTCTATTATTACTTGCGGTAATTGATAAATTCACATTTTTTTTCTTTTAGTGATAAAGAGATTACCAGTGTAATGCCAGGAGATTATGACGGGGACTCACAGATGGATGTCCTTCTCACTGTTCATCCAAAGGATCTTGATGAAATAACAGTCATTATTTTCTGGGGAAACAATCGTACATTAGGTAAATGTGTGTTTGCTGTAAAATATAGTTAGATAATTTCTGAGGAAAAAACAATAATGCAACATCTACAATGCAAAGAACCATTCTGTACTGGAATATAATTCCAGGTCTCAAATTCCACCATTTTATTTTCAAAATTTGACCATTTACCTTCTGGCTATTTTTCTCACCAAATATCAAAGAATAATTTTTCATGAAGGTGTTGCACCTTGGACATAAAGGAAATGATTTTATGTGTATTTGCAAGTGAACGCAGGAGTTAGTGTTCTGCTGCCTATAAAGTTCAGGAGATGACAGCAAACCAAATTCCATTGTTACAATGTGATTAGATTGGCATTGGCCTACATATGTATCTTTTTATTCTGAAATACTGAAAGACCTTTAAAGAAGCTTGTAACTGTCTTTTGACCATCTTATGAATCGCTACTATTGAATTGAAGTAGTGTTAACATGTATTTAGCATTCAATTTTTAGGTTTTGTGCTTATCTGCTTTGTCTCGACCCTCTTCTTCGACCGTGCATTTGGTCGCCCTCCTACCCTGTAGAGTGAAGTCCTGTAGCTAAGTGGTTAGAGTGCTCGTCTCGCAAGCGAGAGGACCTGAGTTTGATTCCTGGGTGGGTCAGGAAAAACGTTGGGCAAGTTTCCTTCCTCCACACCTCTTTGTTTACCTACCAGTAACTAGGAACCTGGTTGTTTTTTGATTGGTGGATTGCTTTTCTAGGGGTAATAGTTCCTTCAAAAATAAATAAATATAATAAATTGACCACTCAATCCACGACTGTTTGTGGAACACTGCTGTGCAATTACTGCTGTGTTTTGTCCACAAAATACAGTCAATTCACTTTACAATGCATCCGGTGTAGCGCTTTGAGACATCTTGAAGACGTGATAAGGCACTCTATCAAATGCAAGGATTATTATTATTATTGTAAACCTATATAATTGCACATTTTTTTAGACATTCGCAGCACTTGGGATTGTAAGCGTTTCACGTTTGCTAGTTGTAACATTTTATGTTTGTCCTTAGATCCACACAGTTTCACCGAGTTGAACAAGACATTTTTGGATGAACCATTGGTGATGGAGTAAGTATTCTCTGAATAATTTTTGTTTGAGGGATAAAATCCAACATTGCTTTGAGTAGAGTTCTCCAGATTTCAGGATGCGTGGAGTTCCTAGAATGCCGTGCACTTTACACTCTGGTCCAAGAATAGTTGAAGCACAACTTTAACTTTTACTTTTTGAGGCTGACCATATGTTATTCCACATTCATACCAAATCGTGACACACTTGACTTGTAATATTTATATGTTGAATCAACCAATATTCATTCCAAGTGTACTGCAGTTTTGATTGCCTGTTCTTTGTGCAACAAACTATTACATTTATTTATGATGGTTATTTGTGATGGTTGACCTGTAGAAAATCAACCTTTAGGAAATATCCCTACTGCTCAGTGGGATACAGCTTATTTAACATTGGACTCAAAGGCTTTGGTTTGAATTCAGGACCTTGACTGAAATTTGTCTTCTGTTTTCAAGTAGTTTTATTAGTTTCCAGGTGGGGCACTAAATGAAATACTTTAAGGTGGCTGGATACATTATTCAATATAAATGCCTATTAGCAGAAACCGATTAATTCTGAACATGATACTATGATTATGAACAACAACAACAACAACAAGATTCCATTTATTGAGCTCCTTTCACGTCGGGAGGACGTCCCAAGGCGCTGTACAGTTGGGTCAGGACCCGAGCAAGGGGGAAATGGTCAGGGTGAGGGGAGGGAAGGGAGGGAGCAAGGAGGGGGTAGAGAGTCGAGAGGGGAGCTGAAGGCACGGTCAAAGAGAAAGGTCTTGAGACCGGCCTTGAAGGAGGAAAGGGAGGAGGCAAGGCGAAGGCACTGGGGGATAGAGATATTTATGGATGAATCCACTCCCCGTCTCATCTTAATTAACAATCTTGGCTTCGTTTAAAATGAGGAAGATTTTGTGTAGGGTTGTTCCTTGTCCAAGAAAAGCTAGTTGTTGTCTGCATTGCTATTCCATTCCAGATCAAGGTCACTGATATCCTTACCATTTCAGGGTGCAGGTAATCTATTTGCTACATGTAACTGATGTGAAAGAAGATGTGTCAGAGGGGACCTTATGGAGGTGCATTATAATTTTAAATGTGATTGAAAAAAGTAAAACAACGCTTCAGGATACACCAAGACTCTAAAACAAGAGGACATTGGTTTGGGTTGCAAACTACACTAGGAAGTTGTTCTTTCTACAGAGGGCAATTAACTTCAGGTGCAGGTTTCCAGGAACGGTGGTTGAGGCCAGACACTAGCTCATTTATATTTTAAAAATCTTTTAAGTTGTGATTGGATGATGATAGGGTGGGTATTTTGGAAGGATGAGATCAAATGGATTGAAGGTTCTTCTTCACCCAACCCATCTTGTGAGTTTGTGATCTTGTGGAATTGTTTGCTGGATTACGAGAGATGGTGAGAGTTGCATACACAAAGGGGGGAGGTAGATAGGGTAGGTGAATGGATTGAACTAAAAGTTAATCATTTTATTCACATGACATGTTCGAATTGGTGACAGATTACAAAGATAAATGTCTGGACACAATTGAAAGGTAACATTTGAACAACAAACCCACAAAGTGGCATGGAAAAGAAAGATTCACAAGACTCACATTTTGTGACATTGACATTTTGTTTTCAGTTTTATCTTGAATCAACAGACACCTAAAACGCCTTGTAATAATTGTATTATGTGTGAATCTTGGCATAGGAAATTTCATCTGAAATTTATATCGATTTACAAATTACACGTTGTCACTTTGTTGATTCAAAACACAATCTGCAACAAAAGATACACAAACTCGGAATACGATAATATTAGAAATGGTTGAAATTAATTGTAATTTGCTTAGAAAAATACTGCTTTACCAAGCCTGATTCTTGAGCTTTGACTGTCCTCCAATAGACCCTCTCATATTACTGAGTTGTATTTGGTAATCTTTGCCACTTTTTGGGGGGCGGTGGGGGGTGTTACCTGTCACCCTTTCTAGTAAGGTAGGATGTAAATCGCTTGTCAAATGCTGTACTAACTTGAAACCGACTCTTATCAAAGATAAGATGAGCCTTGTTTTTAGGTTTAAGCTAATGGTGCAAAATTCCCAACCATGAATCATTACAAAACAATTACTCAAGATAGATAACCTGTGATTAAAAACAAAATGTAATTTTTGGGCAGGGGTCTCAATGAAATCCTGGGCACAGCCCTAGAGACGTCTGTGATACAAAATTGTCCTCTCCTGACTGAAGGACATAGTAGTAGCAGAAAAATGATTTTAATAGATGAGGAAGTCCTGCAGTTCTCTAATTATATCCTTAGGACATTTAGCAAAGCTACAGAAGGCATCATCTGATATGAAAACAGCAGGTATCTAGAAACAGTGATAAATTTGAGTTATTAAAAGAAGAAAATGATGGATGACTGTCTCCTGTTTTATCCTTATCTACAGCCAGCAAGTTATTTTTTGTGCACTAATAAATATAATGACCAGTTTAAATCTGAATTGAATGATTTTCCATGTTAGTGTATCCTCATCAATCAGTAAAACCACATGCAGCGTTACATAGGGAAAAACCCTGATATAGCGTGCTTCAATAAAGTCTTCCCTTGCCTTACTTATAGTGCTGGTCTACTATGGTACCACACTAACCAGAAGAATGGTACGTGCGGGTTCCAGTACTGACTAAAACCACTTCCCATGCACAGTGATGAACTGGTGATCAAGAAGTTGGCCATTTGTCATCTTTTTGCACATGGTGAGGTCGGTGAGACATGGGACTCAGACAATTGATTTATAATGAAGTTTTCATGTGTTTTGATTGCTAGATTCCTTATTCAAGTGACAATAATTCATTTATGAACTTCAGTATTTGGTGTCGGCAGAGTATTTGACCATAGCGGGAATATGACGCCTGGCGGGGGGCTAGGGGAAAGGGATATTGATTGACAGTGAAACTATAGCTGATTTTATTTCTCTCTCTAACTTGAAGATGCTGAGGATTATTGTAACAGTGCTTTGGCTATAATCGCCTGATTTAACACAGACCATGATTTGAACATGCAGCTTTATAGTTTACATGGTCTGGCGCGGTATCTTAATTCCCAAACAAAGCCATCAGAGGAGCCCAATGTTTTTCAAATTAACTTGGAGAATGGAGGAGAGAAAAAATGTCTCCATGGGAATTTGTATCATTGCTTACTATTAGTCAAACTCTTACAGTTCATGTTGAAGGCATAGTGTGACAGCAGCACTGTTTGATACTTTCAGTTGGAAGAGGGAGAGACCTACAAAACATCAACCCAAGCATTTGGAAAATACTGAGTTGTGTGAGGCAAATTACTTGGGTTTATGGCTGCAATTTGTAGGACCAAATCTTTTCAATATGAAGTGATTTGTTCTGTGGTCAGTATACTCTTCAGTTACCTGCCATGATATTCTTCTGAAATGAAAAGAAAGTTCAACCCAGATGGAGCCATTAATGTAGAAAAAGTACTCCATCACTAAGAGTGATGTTACTTTGCAAACATTCTTTTGCTCCCATGATGGAATGCACTTGTGTCTCTGGCATTTATAAGTTGGTTTTAAAAATTAGAGAGCAACATGTTTTTTCGCATTCTCATTAGTACCTTAGCCCCTATAGTCATTTTCTTACAAATTGCAAAGAGGTGTTCATACAGAGGTTAGGCACAAGTATTAATCCTTTTTGTGAAACCATCGGTTACAGCAACCTTGAGGAATTATGGGTTCACCAGAATAGGGTTTCTTCAGTCTTGAGCTGTATTAATTTTGTACAAATTGTATTGTGACCTACGAGTCAATGTCAATATACACTATATAGCAGAGGGGTAATATCTCTTGTAACTAGTAGAAGATCCATATTTATACCATTGCACTTACTATTAATTCAGAAATTGATGAAGTAATCCATGCAACTTCTTCTGACTGGTTAATTGTTCCTAGTGAGGAAAATAAAGCCAAAGGATTCAATGAGTGAGTGAGACTGGGCCAGTCACTGCTCAATGTTGAAAACAGTATTCTGCCACAAGACTTTCTTCTGCTTTGTCATGACTAATTTTGAACTTGCTCTTGTGAGCTTTAAATGTCTTCTTCCAGACTTGTGTTTCCTCTCCTGTGACATAAAATGAAAGTTTAAGAACCTTTGGATTTGGTACAGCAATTTTCACATCTCAAAGCTTCACAGGATTTACTGCAAAGGCTAGTGACTGCATTTTGTAGGTGAATTTACTTGGTTTTGTTGAAAGAGGTCATGTGCATTCTGACTGAAGCCTTCGATATTAATTATTCTAACCTTATATTCATTTGTTGGCAGTTTTAATGGAGACATGATTCCTGATGTATTTGGAGCCACCACGAAAACTGAGAAACCACAGATCTGTTCATTTACTGGAAGGTAAGGCATCAATATTAACTTAGCACTCGACAGGGTGAGTATATAACTAAAATTGACTTAAATTAACTTAAAATTATTTTATCTAGATGAAACATATTTCATGCAAAAGATAAATAATGAGGATTATATGATTATAAGCACTTTGTTTAGATGCCATCATTTAGCTCCAGGAAGACAGTTTGTGATTTGCCCTTGACGACTTTGCTGATGCTGCTCTTCCAGCTGTTGTCTATTTCCTTGAAGTCAGCAGCTGTTTCTGTATATTCTGTTAATCTGATAGGTACTCAAATCATCTTTGCTTCCCAAAAATATATAATTTATCTAGTATCCCCTTTTTGTTCATTTTTTTTCAATTACACGTTAAGTAAAATAAGACGGAATATATTCTCACAATCTCTATTGGAAGCAAACTAATAAGCTTGAGAATTTGTGTTCAGCATTCCCTTCCTTTGATACTGCAATGCTTGTGACAGTAGGCGGCTGCCTATGCGCAGAGTCCTTTTTACTTGTTTGGAAATGCATTCCTTTGCGGTGTATGAATAAGATAGTGATGCATCAAAATGGGAATTTGCATAGTTAACTGCTTCAGTGATGCATCTCTTCTCTGGCGATGAAAAATCAATCCTTTTTAAAATTTTAAATCAGCAGGTTTCAGATTATTAGCTGTTAGATATTGGCCTTTTAAACATGGTTTCTGTACTCTTGGGAGGTTGGTTGTCAAAAAGGCAGAATTTGTTTTCTAAAAAAGCTGATGTATGTCAAACTGGCGTTTACACTAACTTCAGGCTGCTGAGCTATATTGTTGAATCAGTTGAGCTGAAATTCCCCTGAAATCATGTACGTGGTTTTCTCTTTATTCTTGGTCATACATGCCTTTGGTTAACATTTTTCAACACTTAGCTCTTTGGTGGTCATCAAACATTTGTGGAGTCCTGTAGCTCAGTGGTTAGAGCACTCGCTTTGCAAGCGAGAGACCTGAGTTCAATTCCAGGCAGAGGGCGAAATCTTGGGCAAGTTTCCTTACTCCACACAGAGCCTAATAATAATCCCTCCAAAAACAATAGTAAATTGGTCATTTTCAATCTGCTACTGTTTGTGGGACACTGCTGTGCGCAATTGGCTGACGCGTTTGCCCACAAATGTACAGTCAATTCACTTTACAGTGTGTTCTGTGAAGCGCTTTGGGACGTCCTCCCGACGTGAAAAGCGCTATATCAAATGCAAGGATTATTATTATTATTATTAAGTGCTTTGAGATATCGTTTCTGAAAGGTGCTTAACAAATACAGGTTGTTGTTGTTCTATTGCCAATTGTGCAAAAATAGTGTTCTGCTAAAAGTTTACAGTTCAGGAAAATGACTACAAATTCTACTAACAAAATATTTCAGAAGGACACTTTTTCCAAACGTGTTTATAAATGGGCCCTTATTTTTTTAGCCCATTATTTGGTCAATACTGCACATGTTTTGGTATTGCCTTTTCAAGGTTCTGGTTCAACTGACAAACAGTGCACCCATAGGAAGCTACTGAAAGGCTGCTGCACCTGGGATCATGCCTTCCTAGTCCAGGGGAAATGGAAGAAGGAAATAAATAAATTCCAATCTGTTTCTGTTTAGAAATGGGAGAATATTGAGCATTTCAACACTGAGCAGAATACATTTTTCCTTGGCAGAGACCATACTATTAATATCTAGAAGAGGAAAACATTTATTTTCATCATCAAAACATCTCAAAGGGTTTGCAGGTAATTTCTATTAAGTGTAGTGACTGTTTATATACCGAAATGTAGCAATCATTTGCTCTAGCAAGGTTCCGCCACATTACATGAATCACCAGTTTAATTGGATGATTGCTTTAATGAACAATGCATGTATATAGTCATAGAAAATATATTTTAATTGCCAATTTATCCTGGAGTATCCATTACCAAAATGTTTTGCAATCTTCTAATATGATTTTGCCAAAAACGACAAGAATCAGTTACTATTTCTGCCGAGTAAGTCTTACAAACATGTTTATGTAGAAGCATTAATATGAATTTATTTTTAATAAAGCCATTTAAGAATGAATATAATTGGATTTCTAATGAATAATTAATAAAATAGATGTTGAATGTTAGAGCTTGTACTATACAAGTGCAATTCTAACGAATATAGATGTACTGAACCCAAATATAGTAGAGGACCGATTATCCACGCTAATTGGGATTGACTCCTTTGCAGATAAGCATACCATATGGGTATTTGGATATCATTTTTATTATTATTATCATTTAAAATACAAATTGGCTTTAGTGCTAACTAAATTAATCTTCCAATCGGAGTAGTAATGTTATTGCAATACCACACCATGTCAGCTATTCACTTTTTAAACCCCCTCTCTTCTCCCTGAGTCTCTTTTCTCATTCTTTTCTGACTCTAATCGTATAAAAATACTTTACAAGACATGCCTTTTTGACATTGAGATTCACGCTGTTTTTGTTTGAAGCTGCATGCATGCAGTTACAAAGCAGGCCTTTAAAAGCAACCTATGTTCTGTGTGCTGCCTCACACATGTGCACAGTGGGATTTTTGTTTCCTGCCAACATCAAAGCTCCAGTGAAGATAAACAAACATACAGATAATTGATGTGCAGATAACCAGCTTACTAATGTGTGTGTATATAACATGATCAAAATATCTTGTTATTGTTAGAATTCATATCTAGGCTGACTGGATGTTATTAGTAGCCAGGTGAGCTTGTAACTAATATCTAGAGTGACTAAAAGTACATGTATGTTCTGAAATGTTTAATTGATGACTATTGTAACGATACAGCATTTTTAACAATTGCATTCAACTAACATCAATTCCAAGTAATGGATGTTTGTGTAATGTGAAGGAATGAAGCAGAAAATTATGTTTATTCCAGTTGTTCTAAAATGTATCTGTATATTTTCAACTGCAGTGTAAATATTTTAGAATGAATTTTCCAAGCATATGGAGCCTGAAGCCATGCTAATTAATAGGAAAGCGTTGGTGCCTTATGACTGCTTTCATGCTTGTGTGACTGCTGCTGTGCAGCTTAATTCCAGGCAATGGCAACAAAATAATTTTAAAAATATTGCAACCACATATTCATTCTTTTTCTGAATTCTTTAAGGCCTTCAAAATATAGAATATAATAATATTATAAAATATAGAATACTTCATTCGTGAAACCTCATCCATCAAACCTAGTACTGTGAGGTTGCATGGTTTATCAGAATACTGCAAACCTAACTAGTTTCATTTTTTGATGCATTCAGCTTTAACTTTGCATAGATAACCATTTTCAAGTAAAGATTTTTAATTATACTAATACTCTTAAAAGCCATAAATCTTGGATATTTTAGGCATGAATGTTAGCAAAGTACTACTGATTAAACATCATACATGTCTTTACAATACTTGATATCCAGTATATAACCTATAAAAAGACCTTCCCGTTGGATCAATTAGTAAATCTATAAAGAGTATTAAGCATTGAAACTACTGTGGGTACAATTCTGTGCTAATCTGTCACCCCAGATATACTGTAACATTGTGTGATGTACAAATACTGCCTCTTTTGATGTTTGTGTGTTACTCTTCAGAATGCTTTCAATCGATTTTTTTTATCTGTGAGAATACCACATTTGGCCATTTGTTTGGTATACCACATTTATTACCTTAGGCTAGTCTTGCTAAGGGTCTAAAATTATTTTCTCTATAATTCAATTACTGAATCTCCAGATTGGGTTAGTTTTACTTTTAAAACTATCTATGTGAAGGCCTCTAGCATTGTAGATTGTGATTGAACCTTTTTCTTTCCCATAATAATTCATGTTGCGTACGGTTAGCAGACAATGGATTGCCTTAAGTGGAATGTATTGCACCTGTTACTACTGACTAGATGGGTCTCACTTGTATTGTGAATAGTTTTAATGCTGGAATATTCTTAGCCTCCAGAGGGGTAAAGAACAAAGTATTCAATTACCCTACCAGAGAAACGGCAATGAAAATGAATCGAAGCAGTTTTGAAGCTAGATATTGGAGAAAATACGTGTGCCCCAGAAGTAAAAGACCAGTTCATTTTTAAAAAAAGATATTGCGTGCTTATGCTTGAAATATACTTCTTTTGATATTGTATATTTTTTAAAGGGACTATGGTGAACACATTGCTTTTTTCTAGGTACAATTTAGGAGCTGACATAACAAGATAGTTATCAAATCTATTCTGCTAAACAGAACCCATTTAAACAAAAAATCACAGGAGAGTGCAGAAGAGCTTTCAGCAGGCTGATCCTTTTGAGTTCATATTATTCTAGTGACCTGTGTTTTAGACAGTGTAACTAGTCCCTATTTTCATTTGATCTTAGAGTAAAGAATGGAAGGAATATCTAACTATTATTCAATAAGAATGTTTGTAGAATCTGACAATACACAGAAAAATGTGCCCTATCCTTTTATATAAAAAAAATTCAATGGAAGATCAAGTGGCAGTTGTAGAAATTATAGACATTGCGATTAAGTAGAAGTTAAAGAAGTAAGGTTTCACATACTGGCAAAATCAGGGCAATCCTGAAACTGTTGCATAACCGAGCAATTTACTTTCATTCTTCTCAGATTAATAAACCTTTTGTATAAACCATAATAGTGAGAAATGGTTTCTCTTGTATCTTGGGTAGCCTTTTAAAAATCTTGCTTCTGTATTATCACACTAATGTACAGTAAATTAATGATGGAGTCGGTTCCCACATATTTATTAAAACCCACGTTGTTACATTTTTAATACCCTGCCTGAAAGACGCGAGGAGAATTTGTTATGTTGCTGTCTGTACCTATACGCGAACTTCGTCTCCTCTATCTTTCTACAGAGAACTGGAATCCACAGTGTATTAAAATGCTGTCCTTTTACATCTCAAGCCCAGGTTTCAAAACAACTCAGACAGAAGAAATGAAGAGCTTCATTTTCTATTAGCAGACCTAATTGAAATTGGTTTCAATCCAGTTTCCCCCCCTTAAAAAAAAGCGCTCCGAATTCATCATAGCATGACTTGAATTTGACTACCTTGTTCTGAGTTCATAAATAGTTTGTGAATAGAAACATTGTATTGCAGTAATGAGACACTTCATTAATATAATGAGGAAAGTGACCCATGCAGGCTGTGGCAGTCGATATCTATTATAAAAATGCTTTGTCACATTGGTGAGAAGAGTGCAATTGCCTTACACTGTTTAGTCACAATAGCTGGAGACCAGCCATTCCACATTCCCTTTCGCATTGGCAGATGAGGCTATAAATTTTTGGCTGTTACCTCATTGTCTCAAAAAAAAGTCATTTATTTGTTTGTGCCAGAAAGAGAAACTGATTATTATTTTCTTTCCTTGCGTCTCCTGAGCCTTCAAGAGAGGATGAAAGAAAAAATAATCGGCTGGGGAAGGGTAGCATTACTTCAAGGTCTCTGCACCCACACAGAATAAAGATATGAATTTGAACATTTTACTGGGGTTATATTTCTTTCCAATGGTTTGATTTTTAAATACACTACTTAAGATTTTTTTAATATATTGTATAGGCAGAATGACGGAGCTTACTTGTGGCTAAGAATGTGTAAGAATCTCTCATCTTGTATTACTGCTTTGTGCTTAAGATGCAACTCCCTTTAATACGGATAGATAGTACCAAGTCCTGCTGGAAAATTGTGACAATTGTTTATCTTGGATTATTTGTTGCAGAAACCAAACCTGTAATATTGCATTGGATTCTGCTATCAAAATGAGAGTGCCCCATTCTCATGCTTTCATTGACCTGAATAAAGACTTCACCGCAGGTAAATTGCTAAACACGCTTTATGAACATAGAAAATGTAATAGGTTTTATGATGCAGAATTTAATTGAAATATTTAATGATGCAGAATTTCTGACTTGCTGTGAAGTGAAAGTTTAATTTAAGGAAATGTTATGTACTGAATTAGATTTTTGAAATGGAAGTTTGCAATGTTACCAGCGTATCTTAATCTTTGCAGTAATTTCTGTAGTACATGCTATGCTATTTCTATTGACGGTTATGGAAAAAGATCTTAGTAATGGATGTGGGAAAGAGTTCAAAAGTGGGGAAGTCTCAGTTTGCTCAGTCAGGAACACTTTCGCCTCTGAGCCAGAAAGTTTGTGTTCAAGCCGCATATCAGGACTTGGAGCAGTTCCAAGGTGTGACCCAAGAAGGATATGGTGATTTTTTTTCTTTTTCAAGAAAAGCAAAATGTGCATTTAGATTATTTCTTGTGTTATTTCTTCGAGTTTTCATTCTTCTGCTAAAGATATTGACTTTTTCTGTGGTGTTATTGCACAGGCACTGGCAGCCCTAGTACCTTACTTAAATGGTCTTTTTCATTGTTCGTGAAGTACATCACAACCAAGCCTAAGGCTCTGCTCAACTCTAAATTCACACCTGCACTTTTCAATAGGCTTTTATTGGATAGTCAATGGGATTGTGGCTAATTGTGTTTCAGCCCATCCTATTTCTACCCTTCCACTCACTAATTCAGAACAGTCCACACATTAACATTTCTTTGCACCTGATTTTTTAAAATTTAACTTTTGAAAATGTAAATGGGTAATTTGTTCTGCCGACTATGTAGTGTCTTGTAATGTAGTGTCTATGTAGTGTAGTGACTGTATAGTTTCTTCCTCATATCCGTACCACAACTGGCACCGCCTTCCATCACCTCCGGAATATCGCCAGACTACGGCACTACCTCACCCCTCACGCTGCCGAAACTCTGGTCCACGCCTTTTCACCTCGAGGCTGGACTATGGGAACTCTCTCCTCGCCGGCCTTCCCGGCACCTCCCTCCATTAGCTGCAGGTCATTCCGAACTCTGCAGCTCGTGTACTGTCCCGCACCAGGCTTCGCGACCACATCACTCCCACCTTCGCTCGCCTCCACTGGCTCCCCATCCCCCAGAGGATCGAATTCAAGATCCTCATCCTCACCTACAAGGCCATTCACGGCCTTGCTCCCTCCTACTTCTCCGACCTACTATCCCCTACTTACCTGCCCGTAACCTCCGTTCCTCTGGCTCCGGTCTGCTCCACATCCCCCGCCCCAACCGCCTTACCATCGGTGGCCGGGCCTTCAGCCTCTCAGCCCCCAGGCTCTGGAACTCTATCCCCCAGTGCCTTCACGTTGCTTCCTCCCTTTCCTCCTTCAAGGCCGGTCTCAAGACCTTTCTCTTTGACCGTGCCTTCAGCTCCCCTCTCGACTCTCTACCCCCTCCTCGCTCCCTCCCTTCCCTCCCCTCACCCTGACCATTTCCCCCCTGCTCGGGTCCCGACCCAACTGTCCAGCGCTTTGGGACGTCCTCCCAACGTGAAAGGCGCTCTATAAATGAAATCTTGTTGTTGTAGTGTTTCTGTTTGTTCAAGCATATGGTTCTTTATGCTATCTAGCTATTAGAACATTATTGTGTAGGGAACTAGCATGATTTACTTTTGATAGTGAAGAGAAGCTGTGTTTTGTGTGAAGATGAGGATTAAATAAAATGGATTTGTTCTGCATTAGAGGGTTGCAGTGCAAAACAACAGTTTTCAGAATGCTTTTGAACTAGGCAACGTATTTAAAAAAAGATTCCTTTGTCAACTCAATTCTTTGAGCTCAGCGGATATATAATGTGTTCATCTCATCATGCAGTCATTCATTTAAATGCAAATAAAGCATTGATTAGTATTAAACCTTTAAAGCATTAATTAGTAATAAACCTTCAAAATTTAAGAACCCTTGATTAACAGCAGCTGTGTTTTCCAGATGGTCATGTCCGTGCCATTGCACTGTTTAGCTAAATTCATTTCTTTGAGTGAAATTAGAGCATGCCAACGTAATACAATCATATTCTGTTTAGGGAATTGAAGCTTTACCTGTTATCAGGTAGAGGAGCGTTTTGGTAGATGTAGCTTCTCTTTTACAAACTGGCAGTAATTAGACTTTAGTATCAGTCATGCAAAGTTATGCTAATAGGATTAGTGATTGGATTTTGTATTCTTTCGCCCTAATTAAGGTTTTTTGAGAGGGAAGTTCAACTGCCTGTAAAGGCAACATTGAGGAAGTGCCCATTTTGTTGAACGTCGCAGCATCTGTGAAGGTTTCCACTGAGATTTGGAGTTGGCAAACTGTGCAGAAATATCACAGTTGGGATTGTTTTACAGGCTGCAAAATTAACTGACAGTCCAGTTGGTGCTGTTTCAGTAATTTTTTTCACTCTTCAACCCGGATATTTCCAAAGGTTTAAATTCATTAGTTGTTCTAAAAATTAAACCGAATCCAGACTCCAAACAGTGCACTCAGAAGCTTAATAAAAATATTTAGAATATTCTGTAGTGACATTTTATGGAGAAACCCATTTACTCAGCTTACCCACGTGACATTACCTTTTCCATTACAGTAATTTCTATGGGAAGTTGATAGATGGGAATCTATGGGAATATGTGAATTGGGTCAGTCTTGAGCACTCCAAAGGCAAATGCAGCAAAGATTACATGCAGGGTGATGTATGGTAATATATTTTGATGTTCGTTGAGATTCCTTTTGCTGTTTTCCAAAATCTGTTTTGATGTTTCTGTGTTGTGCCTGCTAATACTCATTTGAGTTATCCTTTAATGTCTTTTTTTCTTGTTCACGATCCTCATTATTATTTCATTTCTTTTATCTTTTAAAAGACCCTATTTAGTTTTTTTTGACTGAGACATATCACTTAGTAAACAAATGTTTGTGACATTTAGATAAAGTCAAACAGTTCAAAGATTGATTCAGTTCTATTTTGCTGTTGCAAGATGTTGAACAGAAACGAGAATTTTTACAGGATTTGTTTTTCAGATGCAATTTTAGGATCATTATAAATCTAATCTACAAAAAATGATTGTTATATTTTCCAAACGGTTCTATAAAGTAGAACGATAGGAATAATTTAATGAAGTAGAACAGAAAATGCTGGCAATGTGTAGAATTGCAAAGACCTTTTTTCTGGGGTTGTTGCTTATTTCAAGGAGGCAGAGACAGTGGTGCAGTGTATTGAAGCTCCAGTATGTACTACAGTATGCAGAAGGCTATTAGAGCACCAACACACTGTGCCATGAAGCCAACTCTCATGAGTTTCAATACTTTTAATGGTTTCTACCTTTTCAACCAACACTGGCAAATATTACTGTATTACTTCCCCAAAAGTAGTACAGTGGAACATCATGGCTTATTTTATTTATTTTAACTGCATAATTTATTTTCTATTTTATTGAACATAAAAACTCTAAATCAGTAATGTCATTTTAAAAAATTATTGAAACCCTGTGGTTAAGTGGTCTAGCAAAATAAGTAGGTCACTCACAAAAAGCAGTCTCTTTTATACTTTGCTAAAAATAATATGAATGTATTGCGTAATGAACCCCTTAAGTACTGGTATCTGAAGTATACCATTGAAAGTACCACGATTTATATTTTCGGGGTCAAGAACAGAATAGAAAGATTAAATAACACTGTCCATATTAAAGCATTAAAAATTGGAAAATGGTATAAAACAAATTAGTGAAATTATAATTGTTCAATTGAATCTAATCTTAATTCTATAAGATAACAATTGTACTTTGATGCAGTGGTATGTCTCACCTGGGGCTCACAAATGAAGTGACTCACTGCAGACATTGACCCTGAAAATGAGCACCCTTTTATGTTATAATTTCTCGCAGAGAAGTAGGATTTCATCATTCTAATTTTATGGATGACAAGTAAAGTATGGTTTCAAGTGCTCTGAGACACTACCCTGCGTGGAGGGTGCAATGTAAGTGCATGTTGTTTCTTGATGGCTGCTTACAGTATCAAGGTTTTAATTCCTTGTATAATTCTGATGGACGTTCAGATAAATGATTTTGTACAACAAAGAAACTGGGTTTGTTAGACTATTTATTAGTAGCCAGCTACTTGTGACCTTTCAATGGGGTTTATTATCAACTCTCTGAAAACAAATGGCTACCGAGAGGGCAATTTCATTCATTTCCTGAGAAGGGGGGGAAAATACTGAATCAATGAATCGATTATCACCTATTCCTGAAACTTGTTTTTTTTTTAAACAAAATAAAAATCTTTGTGTTTCAAAGGATACAGATTGATCCAGAATATCATTTTAATAAAGTTTTTTTGAGCAATCAATAATGCTTTTTAATATAAAAGCACTCCATAAAGACGTAATGTCTCACATTATTCTGTTACTTGCACCATTAGTCACTTGAGGTTAGTGATTCAGATTTCAACTAAAACCTGGGATAAATATACGCAAGATAAATCACTAACATTTAATTTAGATATTTGGGACCGAAGCTACTTTGATGGCAGTCGTATAGCAACGTGGAGCCAACAATTTTAGCACAAATCCTGACCCAAAAATAAACCCCATAGAAAATTTCTGACATACTGATTTTTAGGCAATGGATGTATTTTTATACCTCTTATTTAAAGAACACAATGACCTGATGGTCACCTGATAACATTCTTTTTTTATAACATTGTTGAATAAATGTAAAGGAAACCCTCCATGTTTTGGATTTAATACAGCTGTTCTTTCACAGTATAATTGTTTGAAATTGATGGCCAGGTTGATGAATATGTATTGGTAGTGCAATTTAGAACTCTCCTGTTTCACTGGCCTCCAAATGAGAGGCTGCCAAAGCTTTATTTTCATGGATAAGTAATTACTGTGCCTCAGCAAAAGAGAATTGTACATTTAGAAGTAAAATTAGCTGGACTGCAAAAGCAAGCTTTCAATTGATTAACTCTGCTACGTGGATGGT